TTGGTGGCTTTCTTACTTTTTTGGCCATACTATAATATCTTCAAGACTTATGGACCATTTTCATTTATCATACATGTCAGTTTCTTTCATAATCAGATCAAAGATGTCCGACTGGTATCTTTGACATGCTTAATTGGTTTCATATTTACACATACTTTTATATGTCTGTATGCTATCAGGTTAGAAGTGCTCTAAAGAGAAAAAAAAATCAAAGAACCCTGACTAAAGACTTCAGTACTGTAACATCTAATCCTAAAAGCTTAACGATCGATACCAAATCCTCTAAGCTATCGGATGTAAGTATATACACTTTTACTGAAATTTGATGCATTTCCTGCCTGAAGTAGAACATTTTCAGTTTTGTGAAATAATTTTTTGTACAATCATATATAGTAGACGCATGCATCTTAAATCTGATTTAAGTCCGAAAGGGGAAACATTTTGCGATTTCCTCTAGTGTTAAATACTTGCAATTGAGGTTTATAAGTCAAAAACTAGTTTGGGTAGCCAAAGGTTTTTTCTTCAAAATTTTAAAGAGTTAATCAAAAAGAATAATAGCCAAGTTTCAGAATCTTCCTGTGTTAGCCACAACAACTGTCCTCAATTCATGTTACTGATGACATCTCCTCTAACTACCTATGCAAATCACATACAGGCTACTTCTTCTTGACAGTAAGAGCACCTACATTGTAACTAGAAGTGGGCTGTAACATGAGTTCTGATTGGTTGCTTTTCTGACATATCTGAATACAATATGCATATAAATAGTTGGTCACATTTATGGCGACGTCACATCTGAGTTTTATCAGATTGACATTCAGTGAATCAGTAAAGGCTTCATGGTTGAATGTGTTTCATTCTTGTTTCATCTTTCATCTTGCCAGAGTGGTTCTAGTCAAGTACAAATCATTTTGACGCGACCTGAGAGTAAAAATGAAGACATTGTTCTAAACGACTTCAGCAGTGATGACAAAAATGATGTTCCTGATTTTAAAATATCAGAAAACATCAATGCTACTGAATATAAAAATACAGGAAATCAAAAAGATGGTGATGGCTACTTTGATTCAGCCATGGATTGGAGTAAGTATTATATGGGATGGATAATTCCAATTCTGAGTATTAAATAATTATTTGTTTTAATTATATATTCCAAAGAAAATGAAAAATGTAATACTCTAATTAGGACCAGTTAAAAATTTGTTGCAAATGTTCCAATTTGGACCAGTTATGAACTGGTTAAGTGTTCCAATTTGAACCAGATTTGGACTGGTTAAGCGTTCCAATTTGGACCAGATAAAAACTGGTTGCAAGTGTTCTAATTTCGACTGGTTAAGTGTTTCAATTTGGACCAGTTAAGAACATGTTGCAAGTTTGATTTGTGTAGAATCTGTACACACACATTTAATCAATATAATATGTTTCTTCATGTTTGAAGACGCACAGAATGAAAGAGGCAGTCATATACTAAATCGTCCATTCAGAGTGGCGCCTCTATCTTTAGACAGGGATCAAGTGAAACTGGTTGACAATGAATTTAGTAAGCTTGATGATCCATTAATCTTGTCATGCCATGGGAGTCCTTCAACCACATCTATACTTACAGAGGTATGTGACTTGTAACATCTAATACCAATGAATAATGTACTCAAGTGTCACTCCAATGCGATATAACTTTCCTCATTATCGTTAATATGTGTAATAACATATAAATATTCATATTGAAGTGTACATTGATGTATTTATTTTACTTTTACAGGTGGAGATGCCAACCACTCCTCATGACACACATCTTCCTCCAATTGCTAATAGAAATAATCTCTACCATAGACCAGCAAACACATAGATATAGTCAATTGTATCTGCAATGAATCAATGAACCTCCTACTCATCCGGTTATAGTCTGGCCTACAAAAATGTTTAATCTGGCTATCATCTAGTGTATCCGGACTACAAACGTGTTTAGTCTGGCTACCAGTTTGTGTATCCAGACTACAAAAGTGTTTTGCCTGGCTATCTTCTAGTGTGTCCGGACTACAGAAGTGTTTTGTCTGTCTATTATTCAGCCATTTAACATCATTTATCTGACATGCCAAGACCATTTTTGACATAAAAAATCATAGTGGTATGGCTACATCACTTAATAGTGGGTTAATGTTGCATATAATTAATTTCCTTTGTAATTTGATTCAATATGGTGTATTGTGTTTTTTTCTACACATTGCTCAGCAACACTCTGGGGCAGACTTTACTTAAATTTGGTATGAATATTTAACTTGGTGTTGAAAGAAGAAAATTGGCCATCACAGTTGACAAAGACAAATTATACGGGACAATTCGTTTTATTACCCATCCTTGTCAAGTTCAGATGAGTTAACAACAGAATAAAAGTATAAGCAGAAAACAGTATCACCCATGGTAGAACAAATAGCGAATGAAAGAATACTGGCTGAGAAACCCAGGAACCATAACAAAAAGAGTTTCATCATAATCTCATCATTTGCAAAAGGTGTTTAACGGAGTATACAAAGAAGCACTCTAGTTAACAATGAATAAGCACAACATTGGTTGTGGACATTGGTGGGTGTCCATCAATGATGTATATTATCACCAAACTTTTTAAAATTTTACCTCAAACAAATCATAAGCTATGATTCAGTGAGAGTATAAAAGTTAGCGGTAGACAAATTGTCAAACCTTAGATTTTCAGACAACAGAGATTTCACATACAACAGTTAGCAGAAATAGTGCATGGAAATTAGTAAATTAATGGCAATGTTTTTTTCAAATCAGTTTCAAAATAGCTGATTAAAAATGCTGTTCCAGAACCATGTCTCTGACTTTTCAACTACATTATACATTGTCCATATTATTTGTTTCATATTCTGATTCTTAATGACTGACTCTCAGTTGCAATAGGAAACCTGTCATGTCATGTCATATTGAATAACACTTAATTCACTGGTTATTTTGTGTAACAATTCCTCTAATAGTGTACATCATATGTCATCACATGACCGTTCTCAACAAAAATGGCAATTACTCAACCATGCAATTGTGTCTAAAACAATATTTCGTTAAGATTTGGTAATCTTTATGTAGTTACTAAGTTGCTATATTTTTTCTGCAGCCTCAACAAAAGTTGCGTATTGTCAGTGTATGTGTGTTACATAATTTTTTTGTATAGAAGGACAATGGGCTAATGGCCTGTAGGAATTGCACCAGATTCAAGTATGCATTGTTTGCATTCATTCACAAGTCACCGACTTTACTGATTCAGTGATCGTACATCGAGACAACTCCTTGATCGGAAAATCATGAGTTTAAATTCAGGGTGTTGCAACTTTAAAAACATGTCCCATTTTTAAATAGAGAGAAGAAAGGTGTACTCCCCATAAAAATTAGTATTACTGACAATATTGCTGATTTGATTACCATTCATTACTGTGATTAGAGAAAACCTTCATTTGTCCAAGTATGACCAGATTGAAATGTATATAATTCTGCATATTTCTTTTTATTCTGTAAAATTTATTCCTCATTATTTGCATCAGAGGAAATTTACAATCGTTTGTGTATAGAAAATTCAGGGACATTTCATGACAGCACACTTTAATATAAGTGTAATATAGTTGTAAAGCATCACCTCTTAGTGTTTGTTTGACTGCAGTTACAATCTAATGACTGAACAAGAGTTACATGGGCATATAATTGTCTTCGATATACCAGATAAACAGAATATTTGTACAAATGTATCATAGTTTTATTAGTAATATTTTTACCTAGCTTGATTTTCACCACAAGCAAATGATGTAAAATGTGTTTATATTACACTGTACAGTTGAAAGATAAATTGTTTCATTATTTATAACATGTTACTCTGTATAATACCAGATTTTTTGACTTTTTCTCTATGCATAACAATTAGGTTATGTGTATACATTTTATTACATTCGTAAATACAGACTATCAATTTGGCTGTTTAATACGAGTCTTAAAATTGTACACTTTGATTTTCCGACCACTTCTAAGAATTTACAATAATATGAATTTTGTTATCAGTAATTTAGTCATATATTATTTCACAATTTCAATATGTATAGATCATAATAAACCCACATTCTGCTCAATTTGTGAGAATCCTTAGTAAATATTATTTTCTGATGTTTTTGTCTCTGTAAAATAAGAACTATTACAAAAATGAGTTGCCAATCTTCATGCATCAATTTATTTAGTGTGTATGCCAGTGTTGAATTTCTCCCAATTGAGTCAATAAGTGATTTTCCATCCAATTGCGAGATCTCGCGAGATGCATGAAAGACACGCGTCGAACGTCTGCCGCAAAAATCGAACGATTTGATTTTGAACTAGAATTTCCTTATTTCGTAGCTTACATTGACCGGCCGATCTTCGACAGAGGAATATTGCTTCCGAATACCCTATCATCAAATGTGGACAGCACATTATTAAGCATGGAAATGTCCCCGAAATACTTTCGCGTTTGTTGAATCTCACGCAATGTTTGACACGACGCTGTGACCTTTGTTTGTCCTGTTTTTACGTTCGATTTCACGCATAACGCGTGATTCTCGCAGTGAACGGAAAATGGTCTATTGACATGTATATCTAGACAGTCTTTGTATGTTATGAAGCAAGGCAAGCAAACTTCTATGCATATATATTGCTATCCAGTCCATATACACAATGACTTTATCTGTCCATTCCGTGCAAGGTTTCAGACACTGCTTCCTTCCTACCTACCAGGTAAGGTGAACATGGCAATACAAGAATTGTTAGCTGTTGCAACAGTCTTGGGTAAAATTGCTGGAAGGTCCCCAAAACTCTCCATAGCAATTCTCCCCAAAGCAGGTGATCTTGTGTATGATTTTCATTAAATGCAGTCAATAGCTGACTAATGAGATATTACTGGCGTAGTACAGAATGAGTGAGTGGACATTCTAAGACGGACATTACAACCAAGTAAAATATTTTCCCATTTTATTGTATAGAAAGATTTACATTTCTAATTCCATGAAATTATGATACTGTTGTTAAAAATCCATGATCTATGCAGTACATCAGGAAACCAAAATATTTTCTGCAAAAACTAATATAAAGTACTGCAAATAGTATTAAACATAAAGCACTCTTATGATATTGAACAGTAATAACTTTGTCCGAGAAGCTGCAGGTAGTAGTATCCATCAATGCATCCTGAAAGGAACACAATTTGATGCACCAATGAAGCTTTGAATAATAAGTCCAGATAAAAAAAAAAATATTCAACCAGTTTCCAAATCCCAGCATCATTATCCTTGGCCATTGGTAGGTGCAAGAGATCTGTAAATATGAAAATTAAGTAATGTTGTCTTCTGAACTCATTGATTTTATGCAATCAGTCAGGAAGATGATTGACATAACTGTAACTGGGTATTCACTTTTCTATGCAGTTTTTCAGGCTTCACTGAAAATTAGCACAACAAACATACTGTGGTAAAATTTGATAGCAAATTAGAGATATTAAAGAATTTGTGCCTAGACTGAAAAACCAGATGTATGTCTCACCTCAATATTTCGAAAAGGTTTATCCCACTTTCATGGTAGTTGACATTTCATTGATGTAACTTACCCATCTTCTTCAGCATTCATTTGAGGATAGAGTTCTGCCATGTTACCAACAGATGACATTCTACCTGCAAACTCCTCATGCTTCCTTGAATACACTGAATTCAATTTGTTGTTCCACAAAGCTAGAAATGACCTTGGACCTAAAATACAAATAGAAGCAAGTGAGAATCGGGAACAAAATATTGCAACACACTGTGTTTGATGTGTGTTGCACTCAATGTGTAAATTGCATGTACAATACATTGTACATTTACACAAAATTTACACGCTCCCTGTGTGATGACTCTGGTACTAAGTGTAAGTGAGGCAACTTGCACAGCATTTTACAGGCAGATACTGTTTAAATTAGGCAATTATTTTAATGTCAACATAATATAATAATCTCTGATAAATAATTGATTACAAAATGGATAGCAATTTCTTTTTTCAAATTGCTACAATGTATATCAAAACAGCTAAGTGACTTGCAAGTTACCTATTTAAATCTGCCAATTAAGTGGTTGGAGGTTGGATTTTACAGGCAATAATCTGAGTTCTGGCATATACAATAATACACATGTTATTGTGAAAAATTACTAGAATTTGATTTTATATCAGATAATCTATTTTGCACACCTCTGGATTTTTCACCAGTCAATGTTTTCTGCTTTTTCACTGGTGGTGGTGATTGTGGACTATCAGCATACTGGTTGTGATCGTTGTTAGTGTCACCAAGATTAAAATCTTTTTTCTCTCTCTCACTCATCCCTTTATACCTACAGAGCGAACACATCATCATTATGTAAATATTGTTTCTAAATGACCAATCAGAGTACATGTCAGAGGGTAGTCTCAAAGAAAGACACTCAAAATATTGGTGAACAATTTCCAGGATGTGTTTCACAACATTATAGAAGTTCAAGGCCACATGAACCACATTGTAACAATCTTTGATGTGATAAAGCAATGACATCACTTTGAAGCACCTATATGCAAACAGGAGTCTCATGCCATTAGTTGAAGACATCTTAAATTTTATCCAAAATAAAAAAAATCATGAAAATACCACTAAAATGCATTTGTATTTGATAAATCCCACGCAATATTTTGACGCCACTTCGACGGTATGATATTTGTCTTGCTTTTACGTCAATTTCACGCATAAATTTTCTTTTAAGGAAGTTAAGAATCATTTCCCTTAGTTCTTCACTGTGACTTCAACATGCAATGCTTACCTGTCTAAATCTTGCCATGCTTTATCAGTTGCCAATGAAGAAGATGATGATGATGAAGACATTGTTGACGAAATCCTTTCTGTTTTTTCCTCTTTAACTTCACCTTTTCTTTTAGGACTCTTTACATGATCTTCTGATGGTTTTCTACAATCCACGACGCAGTCTAATATCGACTCATGTGCTGGTGACAAATCACTGCAGGATCTAACGAGCATTTCAAGTTCAGACCACATCTGGCGATACTGTTCCTCCCTACAAAATGAACAAGACATTGTTAATGACACAGTCTCCATTGCAATGAGGATAAATGTTATTCATGCCGAAATAAAGTAATATGGCCAAAAAGCAAAATGGCTGCAAGTCTGTCGCCTTTTATCTGATCACAAATTGAATTGTTATGGATATGTATTTCTACATGTATAATATATGCAATCAAATTGGATTGCAAATCAGGGATCACATGACCACTGATTGCAAATCAGTTGTCATGTGACCAGGTAAATTGTTTCTGAATGGATTTGTAGTGTATGGTCAGTAATTGAAAGTGAATAATAAACTTATTTAGTATCAACAAAAATCTGATTTATATAATAACTTCTAAATTTGCAATCTTATACATGTATATTGTTACAAACCACATTTTTGAAAAAAATAAGTTGGCCATATTTGATCTGATTATAAAACAAACTGACATGAACATATATTTCAACATGTATGTGTCAAATATGAATGAAAATGATTCATAAGCCTTCGAAATATAGTAGTATAAATGACAAAGCATGTCCATGATACTACATTTTCAAGATGGTCGGCCATCTTTGATGCAAAATGAATCATCACGGCCATCGTGGATCAAATCACTGAACCATATGTCATACATGTATGTCATGTCCCACATTAATCAAATGCAAAGAATAAACGGATTCAGTCCAGATGGTTTGGAAATATGACTTGAGATGGACAGACAGAAATCAAATTATAAGTCCCTGTTTCAAACTTCATTGAACAGGAAATACTCATGTGAATGTAGAAATAATTTTGATTTTTAAAAACATTCTTACACTTTGGGAGGTCATCCAACATTGACAATAACAAACAGCCCAAAATAAAAAGCACAGGCATAATGTTGAAGTGATATACATGTATGTCAATATTCAGTTACCTTTTTGGTCCTTTGCCTCGAGTACCCATGACAGGAACCGGTAATGACTCGTTTCGACTTTCCATTCCTACTAAGTGATAGATGGATTTCTTACAATCTAATATATCTTCTTCATCAAGATGCTCTTTTGTTATCAGAGATGGTAAAGGATCAACATGCTGCAATGTAAATAGGTCTAGGATTAGGATTTGTGTGACTCACGGTTTGGAACTACGATGCACTGCATTGAAGCCGACAAGTCGTAATTACGAGACTTCATATCTCCTACTTTGTGGTACAACCCTAATGAAGACGTAATAAAATCACAGAATATTTTTTTATCACACGGAAATTTATTTTTGACCTGGAACATTTTAACTGTTGTGACACCTATTTTAGAACAAAATCACAGCCTTTTCACTTGCTGGAAATCTAAATATTGTATGATATTAGGAATTTAAGGCACATAATCACTATTGTGGACTTAAAGTAAATTACACCAGTAACAATACATGAATGTCACAGTCCCCGTTATTTAATTATAAAATACTCATGTTAAAATAATACATAGAACATCTGCAAATAATTGAATTAATATATACTCTATGTGTGTACAACTCACCATAAAGTGATTTCCCTTAATCTAGTATTGTACTGATAACTGAAAATTTCCATTGACCGATAGACTGTCGACAGTTCTCGGGCCTAAGGCATTTTTCAAGCCCTGCATGTACACGCCCACTGCGACATAAAACCCTGACCCCCTCTACAGTTTCGTAATGGTATGACCCATTTATCCACTCCTGCTGACAACTGTGTCAATGTATTTGGCCATGATTAACTTGCCAACAGTAACTGCAAAGTGTTTTCACTGATCTTCAACTTTGTGACCAGGTATTTCAGGGATGACTCTTTAAAATGGAATGCAATTTTTACAGTTTAAAGATATAATATACAACAACATTTCAGTGTTAATTTTTCATACAACCAAACAAAACCAGACTGTGGTCCATTTCTGTCACTGATTCAGATCAAGGTCATGACGTCACTGAGCATGCTCAGTTGTTCTCTTAGTGTTGTTGGGAGAGGTAATTTTGGATCAAAATCATGAAAAAGACATATTCATCAACCTGCCAAGTTTCATCAATATCTGCTGCAGAATTTCTGCGAAAATGATAGAGATGTAAAGGAAACGAGACGGACGGACGGAAACTGGAAATAAGAAACTATACTCCCGGTTTTAGACTGCGCCTGAACAGGGACTAACAAGCACATTATTATATACTTACTGACAAGATATTAAATACAACTGTATTACTAATAACCATAGGCCAATGTCTTGTCTGTCGTTCTAGTTGAGCTTTACCTATTAACAAGAAAAAACAAAAAATATCAATCTACTAGTTTTCATCTAGGGTTTCTAAGGATTGGAGTTTTAAACTACATGAGAGTAAAAATTCAATGTCTTTCCACTTAAGACCACATGAACACAATAACCACATTATTTTCATAACATAATCAGTACATACTTCTTGTGAGTGGTAGTTCATCACAATCCTCTGTAACATCTTTTGGCACAACTCGGTTTTCTTTCATGTATTCACCAAAATCCTAAAACAGAAACAAACATTATGACCAAGATGTGCTTAGAATTGTACTTTACGTGACATGCTTGGTAGAACATATGGAAACCATTTTTAAGAATATTAACAAATCTGCTGAATTGTAATAACTATCATTACAATGTATTCTACAAACACTGATGTAGTGCTAAACTGAGGTTTTAAAAATGCAAAAGAATTCAATATTATTTCACCAGAATACAGGTGGTAGATATCATTTACATAAATTTGTTAAAATTTTATATATATATATATATATAAGCACACCCCAAATAAATAATCATCATTTGATCATCAAAATTAATTTATGTGTTTTCCATATAAAATAAAACTAATTTACTGAATCTAGTGTTGAATTTAGCAGGTGAAGCAGAAATCTATACCGTTATTCTGTAATCTGTGACTCGGCCTCCACACCCTTCACTGATTGAGGGCGGTTCTTCTAAAGTGGAGCGGGATGTTGATAAACAATGTATAAATATGACCCCACCATGACTTGTTAAGAGATGAGAGATGACTTTAGATCCTGTTTTACGTGGTTGTTCCAACATAACTTGACGTCCGTTCAACAGAAAGTTAGTCAGACAAGATGATGGTCGGCTGATAACCTGGAAATGTATACAACAACAACTGATTTCCTTACAAAACACTGTCATAAGAATAAAAGTAAAATGAAATGTAGTTACAGTGCTCGTAGACTTGACAATGATGACAAGTTTTAAATGACGTCTGATGCATTATGCTAGACATTTGATAGATAACACATAACACCATTTATTCCTCATTGTTAAAAACAGACTAGTAACTTTCAAAATGGTTGTTGTGCATCCTGTATATACGGTATAGTCAGTCAAACAAAGTTGCCTAAAAATCAACCTTCAAACACTCAGATAATTGTACTGTAGACCTATTAAACATGTACAATACAACCAGCAATTCACCTTTTCACAATCCAATGTTGGCTGATATTGTGCAGTAGTCACCATGCTGTTTTCTTTATAATTGTTATTGACTTGCCGAATGATATATGAAATCAAAGACACACATTTCAAAAGTTCATTTTCTGACTGAATATTTACTCATGGCGAGCAACAACAAAATGTAGCTTGTCAGAGTTTTGAGATGAGATGCTGTCACGCTATTGGCCAGAATGCTGTTCAAATTATGCATGCAGAACATGGCAAATAGGTGAATTGTACAACACTTAATCTACCAGTATATCTATTCCTGACAACTGATTTATTTATGAACATCTTTACTTACATCAACTGGTGTGACTCGGAATGCTCCAGTGCAGTTATGAAGTTCTGTTGAAAGAATTAACATGCCATTCATTATCACAAATTAACACATTCAGTGTCAAAGACGTTCCAACAACGTATAGCATGTGGTCTCCAATAAGGATATCAAGGTATTATCAGAGGTACATTACTTGGGGTTTGTAACTACGGTGACATGATACCAAGATCCCGTCACAATCTCGCTCTCGCATAAGCGTTCCAACTCAGAAAAATGCGAATGCGCATGCCCGAGGTAACTAGGATACTGGGATGTCCAGGTGGATCAAAATAGCTGCCCACGGTATGACGGATTACGAGAACTATATTTTCTGTACATTTTCGATGTATTACATTTTTCACTATGATAGCGACAAGAAAAGTTTTATTTTTTCATTACAAACCTTGAACATTGATATGTGTCATGTCAGAAGGTCGTAGCCTCAGTCTCGCTATCTACGAGAAGAGACTTGAATGGGATCTTGACATGATGTCACCATACAGTACTATGCGAGTTGCAAACCCCAAGTAATGTACCTCTGGTATTATATATTGTAAATACAATGGTCATCTACAGGACAACTGTATTAATACATAGACATCTACATGTCAATATGTCACAACTCAAAGTCACATACCTACTGTGTTAGATCTAGGTGTACACCATTTCAATGTGATACCATTACCAACTTCTGATGGACTCAAATGATTAAACATATCCACATGGGCATCTTTATGATGTAATAATTCCACATCATAGTTAGCTGAACTGCTGGCATTTTGTTCCTCCTGAAATATTACACACATTAATATACATCAGCCACTGAGAACACTGGAGTTAGCCCTCCCACATGTGTTCAAGTGTATACCATATGTTGGAATGTGTAGACATCTGCCACTGTGAACACTGGGGTTAGCCTCCCACAACAGAGAGATGTGTTCAAGTGTGTACCATATGTTGGAATATGTAGACATCTGCCACTGTGAACACTGGGGTTAGCCTCCCACAACAGAGAGATGTGTTCAAGTGTGTACCATATGTTGGAATGTGTAGACATCAGCCACTGAGAACACTGGAGTT